TCTATCTTCCTTAAATTTTCTCACAACTTCCTTACTAAAAGTCTTGATAGCAGATAGAGTGGACACTATACAATAACCTTTGGTCATGATCTGTTGCTGTACACAGTAAGAAGAGGAGATGTACTTGCAGCCTGGAGTGGCATTCGGCCACTGGTATCTGATCCCAACTCAAAGGATACCCAGTCTATCTCTCGCAGTCATGTTGTGACAGTAACTGAAAGCAGACTAGTGACTATTGCAGGTATTATTATTTGAAGCCGCAGTACTTTGCTTTTATTATTGGTTGAAGTCAATAAATGTAAGTTTTTCGAGCTAGTTTGTACTGACATTGTTGAACTGTACAGTATGTCTCTCTATTACTTTCTTCATTTTACATGTAGCTTCCCCTTACATTTATCTCACATGTGGCATATCTTCTGCATGTTTTTGAATGCACTGACTTTTTTCTTTTTATTCCTTTTTATTGGCAAAGAACATTTTATCTTATGGATTGTACAAAGAGAATGCACATAATTATGCAAAATAGATACAGAGATCTTTGTCTATGGAAACTGGCAGGGGTATTAATCAGAAATAAGGAAAAGTGGTTTGAAACATAATGTATGTTGGTAAGTACAGGAGAAGGAGCCATGATAGATGTCTAATGATTGTGCAAAAAGTGTTTTTAAAATGAGAAGGATACTGCCTGCCAATACCTGATGACCTTGCTTAGTGAGAAAAGTAGCAATCCTGCTGTGTGTGACAAAATGGCATTACAGCTGTACAAATGTATTTTATAGGTGGCAAATGGACCACTTATCGTAAAATGGCAGAAGACACTATCGATGCTGCTGTCAAAGCTTGTAACCTGGATTTTGCAGAACCATGCAAGACAGTTGGACTTCTACTAGAAGGATCCCATAAGTGGACTCCTACACTTTACATTACTTTGGTACAATACTATGGTCTGGGGTCTGAGGTAAGTGATGTCATATGTTTAATGGATTATCAACTTGGTTGGTTTTAAACAAAGGAGCCATTTCTGTTATTTTTGAAATGGACTATTCTCTTTATAATATATACCACTGAAGGGTAAAGTAAGCTTTTCTTAACTAGTTTAATTTGGAATTCATGAATAATTTTCTAATCCATCTATTTAGCTGTCTTATACATCTCTGATGGAGTCATAGAGCTGACCTCATTTGTTTTTGGCTAAGTTCTGAGTTGCTTTGAGTTTATCAGAGGCTTCTCTCTGCAAAGCTTAGTGAGTGTTCTCACTGTATCTTACCAAACTCGCCTCATTAATGACCTACCCCACTCCTGTGATGTCTCTCATCCGATTTTGGCCTCATCTTACCATGCGTCCTTCCCACAACAGTTCACCACTCAGTAGATATCCACTGAAACACTGAAACCCTTGTGCCAACACCATCTTTGAAAGGCCACAGTGCTCTTGGACAAGCATTGGCAATCTGAGGTTGTTCCTCACTAGCAGTGTAATCATACAGCAGCCACAAAGCCATGCTGCCCATGGCACACAGCCGGCATGGGTGACATTCCTTTGCGCATACAATGCTGTACCCTCACCCTTATCACTGTTTATCCACCAGGTCATCACTTTACCTGTCTATAGTTACATCCCATATGAACACCCTCTGAGTCACTGGTACTCTTCCTCAGTATCTTCTGTAAACCTGTAGTTTATCATTGTTCATAGAAATATAGAAAATAGGAACAGGAGTAGGCATTTGGCCCTTCAAATCTGCACTGCCATTCAGTATGATCATGGCTATTCATGCAATTCCAAACCCTGTTCCCACTTTCTAAGAATAGTATCTAACTCCTCCTTGAAAATATTCAATACTTTAGCCTCAATTTGGTGGAAAATTCCACAGTCTCGCCACTCTCTGGGTAAGAAATTTCTCCTCACGTCATCCTTAAATAATCTACCCCGTCTCCTTTAGACTGTGGTCCCAGCTCTGGATTCCACCGTCAGCAGGAACATCGTTCCTACACTTACTCTGTCTAGTCCTGTTTAAATTTTATAAGTTTCTATGAGATCCTCCCCTTATTCCTCTAAACTCGAGTGAATATAGAAATGGCTGATCCAGCCTCTCTTCATATGTCAGTCCTCCCATCTCAGGAATCAGTCTCGCAGACCTTTGTTTCACTCCTTCGATAGCCAGAACATCCTTTCGCTGATAAAGCAACCAAAATACACACAATACCCAGGCCCAGTACAATCGCAGCAAGACATCCTTGGTCCTGTGCTCGAAGGAGGGTTGGGGGGGACCATCATCTACAGGCAGACAATTGTACTATTACAAAAACAAATGTGAGCCTTTATTTGCAGGAAAGAAAAAGGAACTGAAATGAAGCCAGTAACTTTTGAACTTTGTCCCACAACTGCAACCAGATTTGGACATCATGACCGAAATAGTTAACAATCAATGATTGTATGCTGCTTACACTTTGGAAATGGGTGCCAGTGAGGTTTTCTCTGGCTTGTAGTCCCGGGACATCTGAATTCTGTCATGGATGACGGCAGCTTTTTTTCCACCCAAGGGTCCTCATCCTCGTCCTCCAAGACTGTTCCGCTTCCCCCAGATTCTCTGCATCCAGGACATTGTCTTGATGCCTCCTCCAATTGTGCAGAGCACAATCATTAGGATGATGTGGCACACTCTGTCCATACTATACTGGAAGCTTGTGCATCAGCATAATGTGTGCAATTATGAAAGCCAGCAAAGAAACACTATAGTTTTCAAACTCTTATTTTAAAAAAACACAATTAAATTGAACATTACATAAATTATATAAATTTACAGGTCCTTTAGAAAATTTGTACGCAGCCTAATCCATCTCCATGAAACATTGTTTCTTGTTGTATTTTATTGGAGCATAGTTTTTCATCTTTTTTGCCTCTTTTGTCATGTCCTCTACATTTAGCCTTGTGTATAGAAGAGCTACATGAAGCTGTGGGTGGATAGAAGAAAATTATATAAGCATGAATTTCCACTGTAATTGTCCAGTAAACAAAAAAAGTTTCAGTAAAATTACAGTACAACCTCAAAGCAGCAGCATATCTGTCCCCCCAATTAATTACACTCAAATTAGCCCCACACTACATATTCCTCATAAATGTCTGTAAAGAGTTCCTTAATGCCCATGGATATTTGATTGCAGCCTGAAATCTCCATTAGAATCTTTCTCACAACATACTCTCTTTTCTCTCTATCTCTTTCTTTCAAGTACATTCATTCTCTCCCTCAGACACACCGTGTTCCACTCACACATTTTCTCTCTCCCCTCACTTTCTCAGACACTTTTTCATACTAACTCTTTTCTCTTTTTTATACTCTTTGACCTTGTCTCACACTCTCATACACACATACTCTGTCTCTTACTCTCGAGTTCTTTCTCACCTTCACTCTCTTCCCCTGCCACACATTCTAACTTAGATTTTGACTTTCAATCTCACTCAATCTCATGCACAATTCCTCACACAATGTTTCACAAATTCCTGCACACAAAATCTCACATTGTTGCTGACATATTCCATATGCTCCCCCAATAAAGTGGACAGCATGTTGGTTACAAGTTTGCATGTTTGATACTTATCTAGAATCAGAACCTCAGTGAGGAGGAAGCACCAAAACCACGTAGTATGAAATAGAATGTTCCAGATTCCTGTGGTGTGAATATGAAAGAATTTTGCCAACAGACCACAGTTAATGCAAAGATACACTGTGCATTTTAACTATTTTTTAAAATAACGCTCTCGTTCCTTAGGTTGCTCAACACCTTTCTTCTACTTATGGGGACAAAGCTTTTCAGGTTGCTAGATTGGCTCAAGTTACTGGAAAGAGGTGGCCTGTAGTTGGCAAACGTTTGGTGGCTGAGTTCCCATATATTGAAGCAGAGGTATGAAATATTATTTTGCTAATGTTGGCATTGGTTAATGAATTGAATTGAAATAACCATTGATATCTGTACAGCAAATAAGACAGAGCTCTGATTTAAAGATGTGATTACCCAAGTGTGTAACATCTCAAGTAGTTTTGTCAATGAAGCAGTGGAGTTCTGAGCAGACCAGAAATTGGGGTCATTCATCAAGGATCTTCATTCCAAAACATCGAATAAAGGCCAGTGGAATTGATTGCTAGCAAAAGATATGCACACCCCCAGAGTGGTACATCAAGATCACTGACAGTGTAGCAGAATGTTTACCATTTATACCAGAACCGCACCCTAGCTTGGTTAGAGTTGGTGAAGAAAGGATCTTGCTGCCTGCATCATTTGCCAAATTAGAATGAAGTTGAGTTCACAGACTTCAAAGTCCAGGTTTTGGTGAAGTATAAACTCTGACTAAAACAATTGGAAAAATTGTTCACTATCTATGGTATGGTTGGGTCTGATGTAACACAATAGTTCGATTCTCGTGCAATCTCACATTGTAAGAAATTCGCGCAATGACCGCAACATTTAAAGTGATGGAGACAGAATCGCATTTTAGCCAATACAGGAAAGGAAAGTTTGCATTCTACAAGTCGCGTTCTATAATTCTTCAATCGCGTTAAAACCAATTCACGTTGTAGAAAGACATGTTATATCAGAATCGACTGTACCAAGAACAATTCAGAAACTGCTTTTCACCAGTGCAGGTGATTGTCATGACGTAGGATGGCATGAAGATAGATTTTCGTCATACTCATTGTGTAGGCCTTCAATCAGAGTGCCCACTCTACAATATGCCCAACAAAATCAGAACCTAACTGAAGGCTCCCCAAAATCTCAGGGAATAATTTATTGCCTTCTGCTTGGATTGCAGGCTCTGGTGCCCCCTAACATTATGAGGATGTACTTGCTGTCATCTACCTGCCTACCCTGCCCTGGCAGGTGAGACCTAGAGTAGTCCTCCCATTCTTACCTCATTTGGCTAAATAATGACCATTTCCTCCCCAGCTGCAATATTTAGGCCATTAGAAGGTGGTCACAGATTGAATGTGCCTGACAAGTTATTCTATTTGGGCCTTGGATGAGAAAGGGGAGGCAGCCCATCAATCCCAGTGGTGGAGTGGGACTTTCAGAACTGCCAACCAGTCAGATTGGCAGCAGCTGTCTGAGACAGGACTTCCTCTTCAGATAGAAACTGACAACCCACTTTCAACCAATTGATGCCACACACAGCCATAAGTGACATCATCTTTATTCCACCAAAGGTCTTCTTTGTCTTTTCTGATGGTGCCATGCCCTACATTCCTGGCCTTGCTCTGCTGTGTGTATCTGTACCTCTTTGGTTCTTCAGTTTTGTCTAATTGCTTTTACTGAAAAGCATTACATTTTACATTTTACATTTCTGACTGAAAATTTAACATTTAACAGAAACTAATTCAGCCCCTTCAGTGGTGATCTGTGGAGGGAATCCAACCAAAAGGATAGATAAAGGGAACTAGTAACTGTGGTGTAATTAGGATTTCCAAAAGACAGTTGACAAAATGCTGTAGAAAAAAGTAACACAGAAGATGAGGACTCATAAAGCAAAGGGTGAAATATTAGCACAGGTAGAGGATTGGTTAATGAACAGGAAGCAGAAAGTGTGGATAGATAGAGTATTTTCAAACAACAGGCTTTTCCACTGGAGTTCAGCAAACATTACGACTGGAACCTTACCCTTCCCCCTGCCACTTCCCTAACCCACAGTATAAGGTCAGAATGGCAGGTGGAGCTGTGGAAAAAAATTTTAATGTCTCTGGAATCGAAAACTAAATGCCATGCCTTCTGTGTAGGTGAAATATGCTGTGAAAGAGTATGCATGTACAGCTATTGATATCCTCGCTCGCCGTACTCGTCTTGCATTTGTGAATGTGCAGGCTGCTGAAGAGGCCCTTCCACGCATTGTAGAAATAATGGCTGGAGAATTGAACTGGAGTGAGAAGCGGATGCAGGTAACTTACTTTATGTTTCATTTTGTAAATTCTGTGTTAGTAGATGACTGCAGTCAATTTCAGATGACATCCATAGGTTTCCTTTGCATTGTTCCTTCATTATTTACTGCAAGCTGAATATAATAACTGTATCCACACAGACCAAATATCTGCCCTTCTTAATATTTGCTGCAAAGAAGCCCCTGTTTTATTGAATGAATTATGGATTTGGAAATAAATGAGAGAGCATATATCAATACACTTTTAATAATAGTCTTATTCAAAGTAGGTCTAAATCCATTGAATCAAAGGAACCGAGTGGGGATTTCACTACTGGGATGCAACAATTAGGAATGGACTGACTAGGTTTTTTTCATTGAAATTGACCTGCCTTCTATGGAAATAATGGTTCTATGATCTACAGTAGAAGTTTGTTTAATGGACTTATTCTTGAATTATCCTGTTGATGCAGGACTTTTTTTATAGAAAAACAAACTAAAGAAATACAGATATCTTGGTGAATTAATATTCATTTGCAGTTCTATTCTCTCACATAATATCACTCAAACAGTGCTTGTTCAAGACCTGTCTGTAGGACTTAAAGAAAACTTCCTTGCTTTTACTATTGTTAACTACTCATTAAATTGCACCAAGGATTTTAAACAATACTTAAATTAGATAGTATAGATTTGATTTTGTTTGAACTTTTCATTATGTAAAGTGATAAATATGACTTCTTTTCATTATTTAAGTCCTATTTATGATTATACAGTTTATTCCTAATGCTCTGAACATAGTTGTCATTGCAAATACTTAGGATGAATTGGCGGCTGTTCAAGACTTTCTGTACCATGAAATGGGTTACAAGGCTCGATTTGACCAACTGAAAAACACAGAAGTAACCCTGTCACCTTCAGAAGTGGATAAGTAAAAGATATTTTCTTTACAATTTCCTTTTTCTCCTCCACATCCTCCCCATTCTGCTATTTCAGAGTTTTTGTTTATGTGTTGACTTCTTCAAGTTGGTGTCCTTGCTTTTCCAGGTACACAAAGAGGTTTCAGAAATTTGATGAGGATCAGAAGGGTTTTATCACAATGCTTGATGTTCAACGTGTATTAGAGGTAAAATAATTCTTTACTGCCACTGTTGTAATTAAAAGTTAGTCTTGCTGTTTTTTCAAGTAGAATTATTTACAGAAACTATGAAAGCAGTGCATATTTCACCACTTATTTCAGCACATTTTTAACTGTTCCATTTAATTAAGTAATGAAAAATTATGTGTAACTTCAATCTGTTACAACAGACCTCTCACAATAAATTTTTAATCTCAGTGGAAGCTCTTATCACTGCGTGGCAGAAAAGCACATGGAACAATGAGACAAAACCTTTATATTTGCTGCAAAGTATGAGTTGGTAACAATAATGCAATTTAAAATATCAAACTATTTGATTTTTGTTTGTCTTTCATGTAGAGTGTTGGTTATCGGGTGCATGAACAGACTCTCTATGAAATCTTACACGAAGTTGACATAAATAAGAATGGGCAGGTAGAACTAATTGAATTCTTGCAGGTTGGTATCTATCTTTCCCATAAACTTTAAAGGTAATGATGATATAATTTGGAAATCATTTAAATTGCTTAGATTATTCACTAACATTTCTCCTTTGAATAAAGAAGACGATTCGGTTTTTTTGGCATTAATTTAGTTTGTGTGGAAGATAAAATTGATGTTCTTGATCTGCTTATTTAACTTTGTCCTCGAGCGTTTGAGTTTATTTTTCCTCTGAAAGTAGAGTTTATTTTTGTAGATCTTGTCCTGGATAGGTATTTCAAATATCTGCATATCTGCCAGGTCTTTCCTTTATGGTGACAGTGATGAATGCAGAACATAAGATAAATTATTGCAAGGGATTTTGATCAATGTCAGGTCTTTCTTCGCTGTGTCAATTTAAACAAACAAGATCAAGGCAAAGGAAATGGTAATTGTCCTTCTTGAGATGAGTTGCAGATAACTGCATTATGGTAGAACACTGCAGATATTTTACCTTTTGCATCCAGTATGATTTTTTAAATTTATGTTTATTTGAAAATAATGATAGTAAGTATCTCAAATGTGTAAATAAACTGTTTTAATTTATTTCTTCTGCCAGGCAGTTATACAGATTGTAGAATGTAATAGTTAAACTGTAGTTTCAATAAATAGAAATTGATGTGCATAGGAGTGTGATGATGATGTCCATGTGTTAGAATCAGAGGAATGTTAATGTTCAAGATAAACACCAGGTATTAATTATTTCTCCAATTCAAACACTAATTTTAATATTCAAAAAAATGAGACATACACACTAAGAGTTTAGAAACAGAATATTTAACTTTGTATCTCCTCATTGTTGATGAGATTTAATGGTTGGTGTTTTGATTCACTGATAACAACATGAGTATCCTTCTGCAATGGAAATTGTTCGTGCTATGATTATAGTTGTTTAATAGATACTACTAAATCATACAAGATCCACATTCAGAACAGAAAGTGGAATTTAATCAGGATCTGAGCGATGAGCAGAATTTGTGGCAGAATTGACTGAGAAGTCCACTTCTGGAGAATATCACACCATCATTTATCCTTTTGATATGTGGCACAGTCAGTTTCCCGCTGGGTAGCAATGAGTTGCCACTTAAAGGGAATTATCATTTGTTAAAGGCCTTGTTAACAGCCCAACTTTCCTCAGTAATATTCAGTTTTCTGTCTTACCAAACTTGCCAAACAAGCTGATGTTAAGAAAACTTGACGTGGAAGTCAGAGCGAGTACCTGGCGGATTCAGCTTCACCCGAAGGATTTCCGTGTAGCATCTGACCAAAATGCATCTCAGGGCAAGATCCAATGGAACCAACAGCATACAATCCTCATCCCCGACATTGTCACCTGGCATTTGCCAGTCCCTCATGACCAGCATGGCATCTCTCCAACTCACTTGCAGGCTGCTCAGGAAACAGACCTATATTATAGGGTGCACCAGCATTTAACATTGAAAGGCTGCAACAGGACACTTTGTGCCCAGGGACGGGCACCCAGCTCCTGGGATTAGACCATGCAAAATCTCAGGAATGCTCAATTGCTCTCTTAGTACTCACTCACTTCGCAGCTACCTTTGTGTTTGCAGCATTCCTTCATTGCCTTGCTGTGCATGTTAGCACGTTGGCATTTCAGCCAGAGCCAGAGACTATCAGTACTACTGTATTGATATGCTCTTTAGTTCACACACACAGAGTCATCATTGTCATCATTGTCAGTTGGAATTGGTGAGGTGGGGAAGTGGTGAAGGAACATTTTGGTGAACACATCAGGATGTCAATCTAACAAGTGCAGTGTGTGGGCTGCCTGTGGGGCAGTTAAAGTAGGTTGCGGGTTTGGGGAGGGGAGATCGTTCATCTATTTAGTGGATGTCAGAACATTGAAAGAGGTTCATGATGCTCTGCAGGTCCCAGGACACAATGATAAAACCATGCCAGATGCTCATGCAGGACCTGAGGGCTGCAGGAGTGGGAGGGCATCCTCTTCCAACAACCGCTGTCAAGCGAGAGATGGGAGATCTGTGTGGGATCTGTTTCTTGTGCCCCTATAAATACATCAGGTCAGTGACCAATGTCAACTGTGCAAGATCACACTGGTTTATTTGATCCCCCACAATGTTTTCAGTGCTGCCGCCTGGACAGTAACATTCGGCGTCCCTCAGGTGCAGAGTGTGAGCAACTGCACACACATGGCACTGAGAGGGCTGGCTCACAATGCTGCGGAATTCATCAACAGGAAGGGGTTCAATTTTGTTATTGTTCAGGGAATCTGATCACTGCTACTATTTCCTGGAGGTGTGTGCCTGCTACCCTGCAGCTACTAAAACTACGACATCCTGGAGCTCTCCCGCCTACCTGATGCATTTGAGGTCCCGGTGCCTTACAAAGTTTGAAACTGGAGAACAAGGGCTACCCACTGCAACCAAGACTGATAACACCATTGCACAACCCCCTGACTGATACAGTGCCACATGTGCCAGGGCCACAGGGGACCAGAGTATTGGGCTGTTGAAGATGTGGTTCCACTGCTTGGACCAGTCTAGAGGGGGGCCCTGCAATGTAGTCCAGACAGAGTGCACCAAACTATAATGGTGTGCTATGCTCGATGTGACAGATGCTGACAAACTGGGGAAACGGGAGCAATCTTCCAAGAAAGAGGAGAAGGACATTGGCTCAGCTGCGTGAGTAAAATTCAGAGAAATCCTCATTGACACCATTTTGAATAGGTAAGAACTGGATGCAGCATACTGTCATGGACTGTAAAATATTCGTTGCTCATGATGCCAGAATATGGTTTGTGTTGTCGGGGTGAACTTCAATATCTTTTGGCTTTTTGTTTGTGTTTACTTTTGCTGGAAGCAAAAGCTCATATTTGGAATTATCCAATTGCTTCACTGTTTGTGATGTTCCCCTACTGCACAATGACAAGCTGCAGGTCTCCACTGGGGCACTGGAGACATAAACATCGACTGAGAGGGTGATTGTACAGGATATAGCTTTCCACAGCTCTAGTGTGTGGCTTGGTAGTCAAATAGTGACCAGGGTGAGAGGGTGAGGGTTTATGTGTGAGGGAGTGTCAGCCATGATGCCTACATATTATGTTCAACATAATTTAGTGTCTGCTGTGCCATGACATTGGCAGTGAGAGCAGTGGTGGATTGCCAGCGCTTGTCTGGAAGTACAGCAGCCTTTCAAACATGGCATGGGCTCAAGGGATGCCAGTTTTTTAGCAGATATCTGCTGCATAATGAGTTTTTTTCTGGAAACAATGTGTGGTAAGGATGGGGCTAGAATCAGATGTGACAGATGCCATAGGAATAGGATAGGTTGTTAATGAAATGATTTTGGGAAGATACAGCAAGAAAAATTGCTAGGCAGAACTTCCCCCTAAAAAACACAACGTAACTTGGACTTAACCAAAAAAAGTAAAAGACTTGGTCCAAGGAAACTGCATTACCAGTTTGAATATATGAATTAGCTGTGAGGAGCAGTTGTGTGAGCAGTGAGAAAATATTAATTTAAAACCATGCCTAACAATGCAAAAAGACAACTGTGAATGTATATATTTACACATAGATACATCTTCTTTTCATGAGATTCTATGCTTTTACCTAAGGGGAAAATGTCTTGTTTTAGTTGCTTCTCTAATACTGAATACTTGACAGTGCTAGGAGAACAAAAGGTGTTTTGTCTGGTAAGATTTCAAGTCAAAATGATTGATATTATAGTCAATCCAATATTCGTCAAGATTGTTTTTCTTTTGGAAGTGAGGACTTGTTTGGTAGGGCAGCAGGTGTTAAGAGAGAACTTCTGTCTAAAAAAACTCTCAAAACAACCAAGTTCAGGAATAGTTTCTAAGAAATCTGTATGGTTGCTCCAGAAATCATGACAACTCCCTAAAAATAAAACCCCATTGGCATTGTTTGTTTGAATTCAAAACTTTGTACAACGGTGGAAAAAAATGGGGATAATGTAGGAATATTGTCAGCAGTGTGTAGGAGTTAGAGATAGAGTGAATGTAAGGCATTTGCGAAGCATAAACACTTATAAACTATAACTACATACAGAAACATGATGGAGTAGGTATCAATCCATGTGATCATAGGTTACAATATCATAGCTACTTATGCACATGCTCAGTAGCTATTGTCAGAGTATTACTTGTTAATCTTTTGCTCTACATCTTTCCGCAAGTTCGCTCTTCCCACAAATTGTTAACCTCGAGTTATTTTCAGCTTCCATCTAATTCCTACACTCGACTCCTCCCATTTCTTTCACACACAAGAATCAATCTCCACTAGTCTTCTTGCTGTTCTGGAGGACATGGCTGTAGTTCTCCCTGATCATCTATTCAGAAGGTTAAACAGTGGTTTCACTGGAATAGCAACTTCGCACAACAGCTGTATGCTGTGCAGTGACACTTAGGATGACCTCAAGCAAGGATAATAAAGACCAATCAAGAAAAATTGGTTCTAGAGACAAATCTGCAATACTCGAACTGTCTCAATCTCTTGAAGAGAAAGACAACAGAGCAAAATGCTCATTCATATAAGAGACAACAAGGTGTAGAGCTGGATGAACACAGCAGGCCAAGCAGCATCATAGGAGCAGGAAGGCTGACGTTTC